GCCTTATGGTTAAGGTACCTACATTTTGACCTATTAGCTATACAGTAGATGATGTGCAGTAGAGGGTTTGATGTTATAAGATATAGTACAATACGTTTTATGGGCACTTTTGAAATTGCTTTGTTGATTGACCTTTAAAGCGCTTGCAATTTAACTTTCGTTTTCAAATTGTTTTTTCATAACTTTACATCCACTGTACTGTATATCAATACAACTCTTTAGATTAAATGTTAGCACTAGTCCTTTTCTTTTCCTTTCTGTGCTTTGAGCAATTGATTTACTTCAACAGTAAATCAATTGCTGTTGATTAATCTTTTTCACATTGGTAAAGGCTATTTTCTTTTAGCGGATCTGTTTTAACATCTGTATCGTTGCCATAGCCAAAATGTAATGTAGTGTGCTCTCTGAAGGCACCAGTTCTGTAGGGTTTGGGCATTTACTGGGACAATTATTAATTGTAGCAGTAAATCACAAAGTTGATTCTTTTGATGGCTTTAGAATCCAACCATGCGACATAACTCAAACAACGCACACACACAGGTACTAATACACGAGGATACATTTATTAATACATAGAATATGCATATAAACCTAACAGATCTTATCGAGAGGGTTATCAGAATACAAAAGGTATATATTCAATCAGTTACAAAGAGGTACATATATCAAGAGGACATACGTTCAGTATATCATTCATTTAGACCGTTTCATAAATGAACTTGGTTATAACTCCTACATTAGATACTCGAAACAAGTACATAACTCTTAGGAATTAAATTGATATCAACTGGTTGGGATAACAATTGAATTCTCGAGCAGTAATGCATTGAAGTTGAATACTCATCCAATCTCTGGGGATTCAGATCTCCTGCGGACTCAAAGAAACAGTTGCAGGCTGTTGCTGTCCAATCCGCGCTCTCTGGCTGCGTGCCAGGCTGTGCTGTGCGGCTTGCAACGGTGCGCTGCTGATGCTCACTGACTGGCTAGTTAGTGTTGGCTTTAACTAGCAAAGTTTGTGCACAGGAGAAAAGATGACTGTGGGTCCGAGCAAATCAGGAAGAGGACTGGTTTGTTCCTGATGAAGAGCTAGTTCTGAATAGTGATTCAGCTTTCCACAGTTCTGACCTGTTCACGAGGCCTGCTGCTGGTGCTAACTTTGGGTGGATCCTCTGGTTACTCTCTGGCAACCTCCGCTCTAGACTCTTAGAACAAAGGAAAGTTCTGGCACTCGGACACACTGGCCGTTCCGTGGTTGTCCAGGCTGAGTCTCAGGATGGTCAGGAGGCGCGCTGCGAGAATGTCCTGCCCTTGGGAGCCTTCTGCTCCTGGGCCGTCCTGCCCTGGAATTCTCCTTTGAATTCCCTTTAGAAAAGTCCACAGAATTCCACAGAAATCCCTTCTGAATCTTACTGAATCTCTCAGGCTCTCTGTGTTGCCTGTTTTTACCTGGAGGAACTTCAGCTCATTCATTGGCTGAAAGTTCCATGGGCATCAGAGTCCCACGTGGGTTACTCGGCCCTACCAGTCCCTGATTGGTTGATCAAGGTGAGATATGAGTCACTTACTCCTGACACTTAGGAATGCAGTCCAGATGTCCATCTGGCACTCCCTAGACAGATAGGCACCAATGGATGACCATTGATCATGATAGCCAGGCTTAGCTAAGTGCATCCCCCTTTGGGAGCTGTCCTAGGAAACCTTATCAAAGGAAACCTTAAATCAGCCTGCATGAATAGTTTCTCTGTGGTGCAGAGAGATGAGGCCTAATTTGGGAAAGCTCAGAAACACTTAATTCTTTCTTATTAATAAGCCTCGCCGCTACACATCCTAACAACTTCCTGGTTGCTCTTGAGTCACTTAAAGATTTCCATGTGAAACCACAATTTCTTAAAGTGTAATTGCTAGCATGTTTCTTTTCTTTAGACACCACTTAGCCACATTTATACTTAGCCTTTTTTTAGAAATATTTCTGAACCTTTATCCTTTTAATTGAACTGTGAACTAAAAAGACTTTATTAAGACATAGTATATTTAATTATTTAAATAATTTAATACATAGTATATTTAAATATTTAACTTCCATTTCTGTGTCTTCTTTATTAACTGCTCACCAGTTACAAACACAATTTTAATTTTCCTTGTGAAAGCTTTACATTACAAAATCTTTTACTAAATACTTCTGACAGAGAGGTACATTTGATAATCCAAAAAAATGTTTTAAATTGAAATAGAAAAGACATAGTTCAATGACTAACTCATTTCCTCCAGACAGCTGTCTTTGAAATCAACCTGGATGATTCTCAAGATTGTGTAATCATCAGTGGTAATGTTTTATTGCTAAATTTTTGCTGCAACAGATAAAGCTACATGAAAACACGTCAGGATCAGGTTTAAGAGTGGTTAAGGTATTGCAGCACAATGTCCCCAATTCCTTCTGTGCCGTGTGCAGATGTTAATTATAGACAACAAATGTGACTGAAAGGAATGTAATACAACACTTCTTTCAGCCACATTTGTTGTCAATTTTCAATTCAATTCAAGTTGCTTTATTGGCATGACCAAATTAGTAAAATCAGTGATGCCAAAGAAAAACAAATACAATTAACATAAAACAAAAATCTACAGATATTTACAATAAAGACACAATCATAAAATATTTACATATAGACATATGGAGCTTTATTGGGAGACAGGCTCACTGTTCCTCAGGCTGTGACAGGAGGTCACATACTGGGCTGCCAGTTCAACTGAGTTCCCTCCTCCCTCTCCCAGTAGGATTGGGAGTTTTCTGGCAGGTATTGGGAATTCTGTGATTAGATTTGTAAATTTAGGGAAGAATGTTTGTCTAATCCTAGAATTTTTGTCACAGTGCAGTAGGAAGTAATTAACATCTGCACTTCCTTTCTTGATTTTTGCCAAATGTTATATGTTTATTACTTGCATTTTATTTGACAATGTAAGAGATGTATATGTTTATAATAAAAGTTTTAAGTGAATAGGCTATATTTTCCATCAATTGTTTAATTTACTAAGGTGAATTATTATACATTGTAACAGACTGGTATGCTGTCCAGAGTAGAGTCTGGGTTTGACCTGGTGACTTTTGCTTTTGGGATAACCTCTGGATTGCTGTGACCCTTATCAGAAATTGCCACCTTTTTTCTAAAGAATGGACGGATGCAAGTTTATTAGCATTATAATCTGTCACCATAATAGTATTAAAACATCTCTGTGTTTTATTCAGAATGAGAAAATACTGTATTTCCACATCAATGCTATGAAAACTAAATATTATTTATAATTAAAAGTACTCCTGACTATGTATGAATGTTAAAATCAGCAAGCATTAATACAGAACAGGCCATAGTATTTGGTGTTCTCAGTAGTTCTGATAGTCCTGATGATAGAAAGACAGGTAAAGACCGATAAGCAAGTAAAATCAACAACTGAGTGGAGCCACAGAGTTTAAAAGCAAGGTATTTAAAGGAGGTGACAGAGTAAGCAGATAGCTCCTTTATAATCATATCTTCTTACAAACTACAGCCAGAGCAACAGAGCGGGTTTCTTTACGTACTGTAAGTAAAATGTGAAACAACAGTTGGATTTAATAAAATGAACTTATTCAGTTGTTGCCAAGTCTCAGCTATGCACAGAATATCAACATGTCTATCAATGATGAACTCGTTCACGGTTTAAGGCTCCGATTTAGAGAGCGGGTGTTCATGTGCAAAGTTAATGTTACGTTGATTTATCTGACGACGCAGCTGCCACAGATACGGATAACAGCACACTGAAGTTTATTACGCAAAGTAGGACCAGCGTGCCATTTTGTGGTTGCGCTGATCAAACCAGACGGTCTGAATAGAGCCAGACGCCACGCCATGGTGTTAGTCTGTATACACTGCACCCCTTCCTCCTGGAAACCTCTAGCAGGTAGTTTGGACATACAGTACAACACAGCCCAGATTCCTGCGCGCACACAGGGCAGGAGAAAAGGTGTAGGTTTCCGAGGCGAATCGTAGGATCTCAAAAAGGGATACCTCAAGACAGCTACTGTATGGCAGGTTTACAGGTATTACTACAAACATATGAAGAAGATTCATAGCGGAGTCCATTGTAGTGCTAGGACATGGCAAACCTCGGCAAAGAAGAGTTCATTAATGTTCCTAATGAAGGGGTACACGAGGTAGAGGCTTACAAGTAACATTTAGGGCTTAAGCTTGATCCCCCCGATTATTACAAGGGTCTCTCTCTGTGTGTGTGTGTGTTTGTTCCATTTTCAAAAACATAACTGTGCAAAACAGATATTTCACAATAAGCATTTAGGATGAAACATTTTGTGCAACACAACTTGCAGGTGTATCTATGAACGATCCCATATCAACATCAAGCCATGCAGCTAAAAGCTGGCACACCCCACCACTAAAATTTACTCTTGAGTTCTGTGATTGTTTTACCTAATAGCTATTTTTTTATTTTTAAGTAAGAATCGCTTCCAAATCGGGAGTGCTATTAAGAAGGCAGGCATTTCTCAGGAAAATCCAATATTATACTAATGGCCATGGGCATACAAAGAGTGAAAAGCTGTAACAACTTAAAAAGGTAAATTTAGGTTATATGTACAGTATAATAGGTTGCATGTTGACTGGTGGAGTCTAACTAGGGGTTACAAAAAAACAGTCTCTTAACGTCTGTTACATTTGTCAATACCCGATGAATAAATAAATCTTATAAATTCGTTATACTAATAACGTCCATTTTAATTATAGGTTTACTCATATAAAAAACGTCACTAAATTCAAATTGCGTTTATTTGAGTAATGTTAGAATGAAGTGTTTGTCTTTGTAGTAGACAGTTATATTTATATTAAGCAGCGAACAAGGTAATACATATAGAAATTTCACAAAGCATGCAGTAGTTTTCGACGGAACAAACTGCACAGCTGTATCACATCAGCGCATGCTCGTTACAATTAGGATTCACGTCCAACAGAATTCACGAGAGGCTGGGTGTTGCAGTTCATCTACGGATGAAACATTGTGACCGTTCGTGCACAGTTAAGGAATAAATATGCTGCTCGGGTTATAACAGTACTATATAAAAAGAACATTAAGAAATGAAGTCGGTGACGTGATTTCCTTCTTCGCAGGAAGCACAGTCACTTCTGTCTTGTATTGTTAACTTTTGACTGTGAGGAGTGAGACAGCTCCGCTTCTTTTCCCCCCAGTCAGTTGTTGTAAGGTTTAGACTTATAAGAGATTATTTCATATCCTAGCTTGTTTGTGTAGGTTATCATCAGAGGTCTGGATTTGCCGACGAACGCCATGGACAAGAAAAAAAGAAAAGAAAAGGAACCATGTATTTTAGCAACCCAGGTTATGACATTGCTCCTAACTTTGTTTGTTGGATATTCTTGTAAAGCAGAAGAAGCGTCATGCCATGGAGCCTTTGATCTGTATTTTGTTTTAGATCGGTATGTATTGACCCTGCATGTTTTATGATTCCTTAATCTTAAAGTTCTGGTTTAAATTTATACCTGTATCCTGTCCTTGCAAAAGTATCGTTTTTAACATAAATGGGATTAGATTAAGTGAAATCAATGGCAAAAAAGCAGATGTTTTTTTCGGGTTTTCTTTAGTAATGAAACAGTTAAGGAAATGTAGTGAGTCAAGTACCAGATACACTGTAAGTATGTCGGCGTAATTCAATTAGTGAATCAGTACGTCGTTACTGAAATGGATGGTTAATGCAGAATTCATATTTGTGTTGAAAATGCAGCAACAGCAGCTTGTTGCCGTTATGCACAGGGGCACAATATCAGTATTTCGTTAGCCATTGTTTTAGCTCGATCGTTATAGGAATTTAAAGATCTTTTTTTAGTCACTGCTCTTACAAAGTTTAGAAAGGAACAGTACTTTTCCTTTAAATACAGCTCGAAATAAAAAAAAATGGTAAAGTATGGAGGACATAGACTCACTAGTGAGATTTTTACTTTTTCAAAACGAAATTCTAAGTACAACAGCTGTCATGAAAATGAATATAATCCTGATTCATTTGATTATTAATGATCACCATCAAAACTTTGTAGAAAACTGTTCCTTTTTGGTGAACTTGTTTCTTGGATTTTTGCCAGGTTTGCTGGCTAGTTCCAGGTCGCTTGGAGCAATACTTTGGTTCCGAGTCAAGTTCTCCACCCAGTACATAATTATTTAATTATAGGATGATGGTTAAGATATTCTCAGAAGTTTTACATGTGAAGATAAAAATATGTTGTGGCTTTAATACGTAGTAAAGTTTTTTTTTTTACATTTTTCTTGATACACAGAAGATCCGAAGCTTACATAGATTCTGTTTTTGTAAAATGTGAAATATGTCAATGCACTACATGCAGGCCTAATATTATTTTGTGACTAAACATTCTTCTTTTGGTTAGAACAGCTCTACAAGTTTCATATTTCAGGAGACATTTTTAAAAATAATAAGTACACGAGTTAGGAAGTGGTTAACTTTTAATATAGCTGAACATTTGATCGGGATCCTAAGATATCAATATTAACCATTCATCCATTTTCTAAGCGCTCTGTCCAATACTGGGTTTGCGGGGGAGCCTGAATCTGTCCTGGCAAGCAATGGGTGAAAGGCAGGAAACATACTGGATGGGATGCCAGTCCATCACAGTGCACACACAGGTGTGAACATGACAACGCTCACAACAGAGCCAATTTTTGCAGAAGCCAATTAACTTACCAGTATGTCTTTGGACTGTGGTAAGAAACTGGACTACCTGGAGGAAATCAACGCAGTCACAAAGAACATACAATCTCCATACAGAAAGGAACCTAGGAATTCAACCCAGGGCCTAGTGCTGCAAGGCAGCAATAACCATAACCATGCTGCCCTGGCAATTATATACTGTGCACTAATGAAATCCCTGAGGTATGTGCTTAAAATAATTCTAGGAACACAAGCTAGGCTAGTTTTTTAGTACATAGACTACATACTGTAGATTGTTGATTCAGTATACTGCTAAGCGATTAACCGTATATTGTCATTCCTCTCAACCCACTATAATTGATGGTCAGCCTATTGAAATTGTTGATTACAACAAGAACTTAGGACCGGTCATTGACAAAAACCTAAAATGGGACAAATAATTATAATAATAATTGCTTACAGTTATATATAGCTTTTCTGGACACTTCACTCAAAGCACTTTACAGGTAATGCGGACTCCCCTCCACCACCACCACCAATGTGCAATATCCACCTCGATGATGCGACAGCAGCCATAGTGCGCCAGTACACTCACCACACATCAGCTCTCAGTGGGCAGGAGAGAAGATGTTGTGACACTATAAAAAAGGCCAGCAGAGACTGTTCTTTCTTATGAAACTCAGCTACTTTAAGGTGGTTAAAACTATTCTTACACTTTTCTACAAGTCATTCAATTAAAGTGTCTTAACATACTGCTTCACTTGCTGGATTGGCAACATGCAGTAAGTACCAGTAATTGTAATAGGCTGGGTGAATTAGTGAATATAAGTGGCAAAATAATCAGGAATAGTCAAATCAATTTAAGTATCCTTTACAAAAAGAGGGTGACTAAGAAAGCCAAAAGCATCATGGAGTGTTTCTCATCCCCTCGATTGCGAATTCATACTTCTCCCATCTGGGAGACACATCTGTGCCGCCAGGTGTAAAACCAACAGACTCAGGAAATCTTTCATTCCCACTGCAATTACACTCTTAAACAATACAAAGTAACTACCTTGTCTTGTTTCTTGTTTCTTACCACCTGTAACACTACTGTATTCTCATCCCTTTTGGTCATGTTTATTTGTCATTGTGTTGTGTTTGTGCCGTAAAACACATTTTCCCTAGGGGACAATAAAGCTTGAATTGAATTTCTGTGGATATTTGGAGAGAAAATGGCAATGTGAAGCATTATGTACAAAAATCGTGTCATTTTCTGAAATGAAATGAATAAGTCTTTCATCAAATTCCATAGAGTGCTCAATTTTTCTGAATCCAGATTAGAACACATTTGGCAGTAGGAGGGGGACATCAGTCAATAGACATAGAATTCTTTTCATATTCTACAGGTCGAAAGTTTGGGAGCAACAACTACTGAACACAGAAGCAGTGTTCACGCACAATATTGGTGGTTGTTTTTCTCTCTACGCAGAAGATTAAATTCTTTATACCCCTGGCTGAAGAGACAAACTTCCCTAGTTTGAACTAGGGCTGGGCGATATGGCCAAAAACATTATCACGATAAAAATTTTCATATCAGTTGAAATCAGTAATTATCACAATAAATGTCAAATCATTATTTCTTTCAAGTTTAAAGACAGATTTTTTTCTCCTAAGTGAAAGTTGAAGAAACCAATCAGTTAATTGGTAAATTAGATAGATAGATACTTTATTGATCCCGTGAGGGAAATTGCAGTGCAACAGCAGCTTAACACAGACAACACAGCCACAGTGTAACGAATGATATAATAATAGTACAATACATACAATACAATCAGTACAGTGAGGGGTGCACTAAAAGAGTTACTCACAGTCCGGACACACAAACAACAAACTAGAACAGAACAGTACGCAGAAAAATCATATCACACATATGAATAGAAATATAGATGTAAATATAGATATAGATATAAATGTATTGCACAGGTCCCTGGCATATATTGCACAAAAAACAGTTGTAAACGGGAAAAGAAAAGAAAGAGAACAGATGTAGCAGTAGATGTGTAGATGCGTTCAGTCCAGAAACAGGTCACTGTCAATGTTGCCTCTGTGCAGACGCAAGGTGGATGCATTGTACAGTCTTATGGCAGAAGGCAAAAATGACCTCCTGTAGCGCTCCCTGTCGCACCGTGGATGAATCAGTCTATTGCTTAACGTGCTCTTCACTTCTGCAAGCCTGTCATAGAGGGGATGGGAGATGTTGTCCATGATGGCCTCTAGTTTGGACACCATTCTCCTCTCAGCCACTACGTCCAAGGCCAGACCCAATGACAGAGCTTGCTCTCCTGATGAGCTTGTTGAGCTTGTTCAGCTTTTAGAATCGACTGCTCTAATCCCAGGGCCCCAGCATACCACTGCATAGAAAATGGCGCTTGCTACCACCGACTGATAGAACATATGAAGTATCTTACTACATACATTAAAGGACCTGAGCCTCCTCAAGCAGTAAAGTCGGCTCTGTCCCTTCTTATAGATGGCCTCGATGTTCTTAGACCATTCCAGTCTATCGTCGATGCGCACTCCCAAGTACTTGTATGAGTCCACCATCTCCACGCCACTCCCATGGATGTAGACAGGAGTAGGTTTTACCTTTTTCCTCCTGAAATCTACCACCAGTTCTTTTGTCTTTGTTACATTCAGTTCCAAGTGGTTCACCCCACACCACTCCACAAAGCTGGTGACCAGTCCTCTGTACTCCTCCTCCTGCTCATCCTTGATATGTCCCACAATTGCAGAGTCATCTGAGAACTTCTGCAGGTGGCATGACTTTGAGTTGTACTTAAAGTCCGAAGTATAGAGGGTGAAGAGGAATGGAGAAAGAACTGTCCCTTGAGGTGCCCCTGTGTTACTCACTACCTGTTCAGACACACAAATTAAACAACTCTTTATTTTAAGAACACAACAAACACTTGCCAAACAGCAAAAACATTAAACAAATCTGATGTAGAGAGTATTCAAGTCTTTTTTATGTAAAAATATGCAGTAAATTTACAAAATAAATATTTTAATAGAAAAATTAATTACTACAGTGTGATAAAACACACATAGAAGATGGCTCAGACAGACTGCAAAGTTTAAAGTGCTTTAAAGGATAATATCAATACAAAAAATAGACAAAGAAATCTTAATTCTGGTCAGCATGCCAAACCTTTTGTATAGACTGTACAAACACCTATAACATTTTATAGGTGTTTTAGCTGACATTGTAAACAAAATAAATAGACAAAAGAAAAATCTCAGGTATGGTCAAATGGTGAAATAGGTTCGTGGTGTTGCCTGTCTTTGCTGGCACGGATCTGCGGCACAGTTTGCCGTGCACTCTGCTCTGTTTTATGTCTGATCGTAAAAAGCCAACATATCTCCCAATTACCAAAGTTGAATGACCTTTTCTGTCGACGATGTCATCGTCCTTCAAGCTGGTCGTTGGCAGCACTGCATTTGCTTCAGTGTCTCTCATTTCTCCACTCTAACTACAATCCTGTCAGCCACCACCGTGTGGGTAAACAACACCACGTTAGCTGCCCGGTCTGCAACACGCAACAGTATTTTGTGCGCATGCGCAAATCAAACGTTTATCAAACTTTTATTAAAATTATATGGAGGAAAATTATATTGTGATTATTATCGTTATCGAATTATCGCCCAGCATTAGTTTGAACCTAAGAAATGTAACAAATAAGAGGAGGTTATTCTGCATATAAAATTTGTTTAGTTGCTTGTAGGTGATAGACATGATGTCTCATCCTGCCGTTTATCATGTAATATAATTTTTTGACGTGGAATTTACCACTTTGTTAAAACGACAGCCCAATGTGTCTTGCTCATATTAGGATTAATGTTGCCTGATATCATTTTCGGGTAAATTTAGTGTCTTGCAAAAGTATGCCCGCCCTCCAAATAATACTGAGATTTGTTGAATTACAAATCATGTATTCACATGTTAAGCTGAATATTTTTAATCAAAACTTTAATGTTCAACCTGAATACTTTAATTGGTGAAAGAAGGTACGTAACAGCAACAAATACAAAGACAAACTGCACAATAAAATGTTTTGTCTTGATTTAACCCTGCTGTACTGCAGTGGCATTTAAAGAGTCTTATCAGAACTATTGCTTCAAGTCCAATACTGTTCCGTTGCACAACTTCCTTTTAGGATAGTTATACAACTGATAGTTAATAGTTGTGTTGTTATTACATTTATGAACATATTTGACAGAGTGTATTCATTGTACATTTTTAGAACAGGTGGTGGTGGTGATATGTTCAGAAATGCAAGATATCAAAGTTCTTCTGTAAAAGACATTTACATACAGTGCCTTCCAAAAAGTAGTGGGACAAGATTTCAAGTTATCTCATTATAGGTGTATGCTCTGGAAATTTGGATTTCAAATCACATGATGAATATTAGACAAAAGCAGAAAATATCCCCTTTTACTATGGATATGTTTATGCATGAATGTTTTACCATTATACAACAACAGCACATTTTTTGTTCACTCCCCACATTTTAGATGAAAGTAAGTATTAGGGCAAACAGGTTAACAGCTGTTTCTAATTGCCAAGAGGTTACACTTTGCATACATTTCACACACATAAAAGAGCTTGGAAGGCATGGTTGAGGTCTTTCGAAACTTCTTTCGTCTTTCATTTGAATTAGTCAGCAAAAATCAACATGAAGACCAGAACACTCACTATGACAGAAAAGAAGGCCATTTTGAAAATGAGAGGAAAGAAAATGACAAAAAAATTAAGACACTTGGCATTGCAAAATCAACAAGCTGGATTATTCTTAAGAAAAAGGAAATAATTGGAGGAGTCACTAACAGACAGAGAACAAAACGTCTGAAAAAGACAAATGCAGGGGATGTCAGAAAAAAAACCCAAATTACTGTCAGTAAAACAAACTCCGAGTGGGGGGGGGGATCTTGAGTCCTACAATCTGCAAAAGACTTCTCCAAGAAAAATTCATAGGCAGTACTGCAAAGTGTAATCCCCTTATCAGCGGCAAAAACAGAAGGGCTCAATTAGAATTTGCAAAATGAGCCACAGGAGTTCTGGAACAAGGTTTTTTGTTATGTACTGATGAAACCAAAATAAACATCTATTAAAGTTGCACACTTAACACAGGAGTCCTTCAGACAGGAAAGAGTGAACATTCTAAACCAGATATGAATCCAATTTTGCATGCATCTCATTTGGTCAAAAGGAGACTAAAGGCAGAAAGCTTGACCAACAAGTAACAACTTAAAGAGGGTGCAGTTAAAGCCTGACAAAGCATCTCAAGTGAAGAAACAAAGTGATGTCAATGGGAGGGAGGGTTGATGCAGTTATTGCAAGCAAGGGATTTGCAACAAAATACTGACTTTTTGTCTTCAATTTTCTTTATGTTCAGTGTGCCAATACTTATTGCCACCTACATTTTTGGAGCTGGCCACAACATACTGTATACTTTGATTCAAAACTGATTAAGTTTGTTTGTCAAATATATTCTAAAAAGTAAAGCTGACCTTCTGACCTCTGACTCAGAATAATTTTTTATGTGAATTGCAATTTCTTGTGTATACAACAGGGAAATGCCAATTTTAGGTTTTTGTCCCAATACTTTTGGAGGGCACTGTATCGCTGAAAAAGGATGAAAAAGGTCAATTCCAATCACGTTTGATCAAGTCCGGAGTTCTTAATTAATTGCAAGTAGGGGTCTAACCCCGGCATCCTGGCCAAATTTCCCCATCGGCCTTTATCAATCATGGCCTCCTAACAATCCCCCTCTGTGAATTGGCTTCATTACTCTGCTCTCCTCCCCACTGATAGCTGATGTGTGGTGAGCGTTCTGGCGCACTATGGCTGCCGTCGCATCATCCAGGTGGATGCTGCACATTGGTGGTGGTGGAGGGGAGTCCCCATTACCTGTAAAGCGCTTTGAGTGGAGTGTCCAGAAAAAGCGCTATATAAGTGTAAGCAATTATTATTATTATTATTTTAATTTAAAAAAAAATCTCATAGCTTTTAACCTGAAACTGACATTTTATAGTGAATTGTATTCAAAATGTGCACTGGATTACTTAAAATAACCTGAGAAGTAGTACTCGCAGTGCATCTTGGCTTAATTGTTAACACACCTGTATGCAATTCACACAATCACAACTAATTGCCTAAAGAGCTGATTAGGCCTACAGGAAGAGGAGCCAGCTAATTCTAGTAGCTAGTTCTGTTGATGCATTGCATGTTGTGATCTTCACAAGAAGGTTCATTAGTATTCCAGTTGTGATGTGAATGTTAAGTAATTAGATATTCTAAATTTACTGGAATGAGCTAATAAATGCTACAGCTGTGTTTAAACCCATATTTACATTTAATCTTTGTTGAGTTTATTTTTAAGACTATCTTTTCCTAGTCCAATAGTAGGCCTACACAAGGAAGAGGCAGAGATTGATGAGATTTGCTACCTCCTGACAGTCTTCCAGATTGTGGTTACTTGTTTTGTGCTAATCAACTTGTTTTTTTTTAGATCAGCTCTAGGCATCTGGGTGCTTGGCAGTTTTGTGTGGTATGGTGCTGGAATTGTAAGGAATAGAGAAAGCAGGGAGTGTGCATGTGGAGAAAAAACATCTTTAATTTGGTTTGGAGCAATATGCATGGTGGAGCAAGTGGTGAAATGAGTCTGTTATATGATTAATCTGTATCTCCTCATCTTTTTGTTTAGATTTCTGTGAAGATTTAATTACAGTTTAGGTCTAAAATACATGAAAATACAAATGAACCTAGGGTGTTTACAATATTTTTTCTCAGCACTGTAAATATTATATAACCTAGATTTATAGCCTCATTGTCAAAGTTATCAACTACTTAATAAAATGTGTATATTGTTGGTCACTTAGGAATTCAATTAAAAAAAGAGAATTACATATTATAAATATCCATAGCTGGTTTGGTTTATATTGTAACAAAAAAGCTGAACAAAATTTACTTGGTTGTTGTGTTCAGAAATCCATATTAATATTGGAGGTGTTACAACAATAAAGATATAATATTGTTTGACAATTCTAAATTAATTTCCTTCTTTTTATTTAGGTCTGGCAGTGTTGCAAACAACTGGCATGAAATTTATGGATTTGTTGAACAGCTCACAAATCGATTTGTCAGGTACGTGATCTCTAACAAACAAAATCAAAGAAAAAAATGTGAAGCGAATTTCTACCTTATATAATGTTGACTCAGTTTGTGTGCTGTACAGATAATTTAATCTTAGCCAAAATAAACTAATTTGCAGAAGTAAATAGCAAATGGTCCAGGTGGGAGTGGGTGGTATAGTGGATTAGTCTGCTGTGCTGCGATGGTAGCCATTTGTACTAGGGGTTCCGTTATTTCACTGTAAAAAATGTAACAAAAAAATGCATAGAAGAAAATTACGCAATAAAACAATACAAATCTGTAGTATAAGCATTTACCTTGTGTTATCCTGCCATTTATTACCTCTGAATTCCACCTACAAAAAACTGATGCATTACATTTTTTACATTTGATTCTGCATTCACACAAAAGGGCATTCTGGAAGTGTAGAATGACCTAAAGTGTGACATATTCTGTTTTGGATCTAAAGTTATTTACATTGTTTTACAGACTTCCAGGCATTCATTTTATATTTTATATTTCTTAGTTTGGTTATCATGAATGAAACCTTAAGTGATATAATATTAAGAGATAAAAGTATAATTAAGGTAGTTTAAAAATGTTATTGTTCCTAAAATTATAGCATGTGATTTTTAAGTTACTCTTGTACAGCACATGACCTGTTGATTCGCTCTTTTGCTAAACTTGTTTTTTGCTAATTTTGCTAAAAGATAAACTTTCAAATTAGTAATAAAATGAATATTATTAATATTCAGAAATGTAATATATCATTACATTAAAGGTAAAAATATGTATTTATGTTTAAGGCGCTTGTCTTTATTAAAGTTTTGCCATGTTTTACCAAACTTGACTGTAGAGCTCAGATTGTACTGTGGAGGAGGAATACAAATGTGGCATGTGTCTCGTGGGTGAGAATTAGCAACATATCTCCTTATGTTGCAATGCTTAGCATCTTTAAGGTCAGAAAAAGCAATAAATACCATATTCAGTCTACTTTTAATATTGAATAAGAGGCCTGTATAACTTAGTTTTAGGGAATCCTGTTAGCATGGGTTTAAGTTAAAAACCCCACTATTATTTAAGACATTGTCAAAACTGCTTTTGTTATTGAGAGATGTTTAATCAGTGGTTGTTATCAAGCTAAACTGTATGTGATGTCAATATGGATTTCAAGTCTGAAATGTATAGCAGCTCAAAGGCAGACACCATTCAAAGGATTTAAGTAAATTCAGTATTTGCTCCTCATCCCCTGTAACCCTAAGTTGGAGGAAACAAACGGAATCTGCATTTTTTTCCTTCTTCATACCCATCCATTTTCAAATCAACAATTATTTATAATTTGGCTCTAAGATTACAATCTTTTTATTACATAGAGATAATGAGGACTTGCTCCACTGATACATACTGATATCAGTGCCTTTCATGTTAAGAAGCTTACAGCATGTCAAAGTGCTTTATATGAAATTGTAGCACCCATTGCATGACTTGAGGTCTCTCAATGACATCACTAGAAGTTTTCACGTGTCTAATGGGCCTGCTTCTTGTCTTCCTTAGTAAATCCAAGCAATGTGCTCTTACAAAAGAAGATCTGCTTTATTTTCTTTCTCTGTGTTTAATTGGAGTGGCAGAGCTTCAGAATAGTTTAATAGTTTAATTCTATAATTGCATTCACTTCTATTGAATTTTAAGAATTATTCAGAGACTAAGTTTTGTGATCATATGGGAAAGTTTGAAAATGCATACATTTCCAAATTATTTTAATACAATCTTGGATTTAATCAACACTTTGAGCTAATCATATGCTATTTACAAAATGATTAAATTCACTGCTTTGGCTGTTGTTCTATTGGGTCTGAAATTTTGCTTTAATCTAGGCATTTGTTTATTTCAGTGCTTTTTATGTTAAAAAAACAACTATAATGTGCACTTTATCAGTTTTATTTTGTTTGTTTCTCTCTGTTTAGTCTTTTTCACGAATGTATTTTTCATTTATAGCCCAAGAATGAGAGTTTCCTTCATAGTATTCTCATCAAAAGCTGAAACCATGATGGCTCTGACAGGAAACAGGTATATTGCATACTCTTATTTGGTAGTTTGATGTTTGACAGTACACTGTATGTTGAGTAAATGTCAGTTAAGTGTAACCAAAAATTTAATTGGTATTATTTCAAAGATTCTTATACTGTAGGTTACAAATTGCAAATGTATTCACCCAGAGCCCATGCTAGTTGTGTAATCAAAATTTATAATTTGTATTATAATCATTTCTCTTCAATCTCTTTTGATGGTTATTTTTTGTCATCACACTGTCATTTATTTTAGAAATGAAATTGAAGAAGGCCTTCAGAGATTAAGTAAAGTGACGCCAGCAGGTGAAACATATATGCATGAAGGTATAAAACAGGTGGGTTAACAGATAGTTTTTATGAAGTTCCATAGAAATTCTAGAAGAATAAATACTATTTCTTCTAATAAAAGAACAAAATCAGGTGCATTCTTTATTTGTTATAAGGAGAAAAATAATTTTAATTAGGTTGCTAGTTTTATTAAATCATGTTTCATGAAATTAATTTGTTCTTAGATTAAATAAACCACAAATTGTATTGTACAATAATATCTGGTTAAGTATCTGTCAGATGTTTAAACACACTTGAATAAAGCATGTCATCTTTAATTAAAAAGGCCATTGCTAAGATTGTGATTTTCTTGTGTTCTGTTTTTCTTATTTTTTCTCATTGCTTCTACTGTCCATAAGTCTTGCTAATCAGGTTCATTGGTGTCACCCTTCCCTTGTATATGTACTGCAGTACACTGCAGTACACTGACATCCAATTTATCTTCCTAACTTGATATCAGGCTGTATTCCTGTTATATGCTGTGTCTGCCAGGCTAGACTCCAACTCATTGCAAACCTCTAAGCTTTAGAATTGTTGAATCTTCATTTGTTATCCTATTTAGAAGTATAAAAGGCACTTTTTATAATTATGTTCATATACAGTAATAGTCCATAAGTATATCACATAATTTTCCCTCAGTTATCATTTAACACTGGATATATAAAATAACATGAAACTAACATTAGACTTGTTTTTCTTTATCATTTTTTGCAATTTTTTCATATTAATATCAGAATTTTTTTATATACTGCTTTTCCATGGAGTGAAGTTTAATGTGTTCTGTTTTTAACTGTTTTATGTCAATAATTGCAAAGCGTTTTAGGTTAAATAACCACCTTTTTGCAAATACAATAGTGATAAAATGAAGGCATTGCATGGCATTGATGAATGAAAGAGTTACTCATATGACTTGATTCTGCTTATCTCTTGTGACATTCTTCTACAGTTATTGAATATAATTATATTTTGTTTTTGATTACATAACCTGACATGCAAAAAATAAATACAATAATTTCTTAATTCTGAGAGATGGGGGGAGGGAGATGACTTGTGACTTCAGGATATTGGTGTTGCACTTTGCTTCTTTTCCAATTGGCTAAATTGCTTACTCTGAGCATTTGACAAAAAAATCTGAGTAGTGCTTTATCACAACCATTATTTCTCAGAAAGTTGTAGATTCATTGATATACAGTAACTGGTAAATGTATTTAGATATTCTTATGGCCCTACATACTTATAAACATGCTTAGGTATATTCAGGCGTCCTGCTAGTTTGGATATGCTAATTTGTTAATCCTTGAAATTCTGCATTGCTCAGTATTTAGCTTTGCCTTATCAAGTTAAGCATCTTTCTTCCAGCAATGCTAAAATATGTTCAGTTTATTCCAGAAATAAACTTCCACTGACCCAAATCTTGCTTCTTTTTTGTGTTATTAGATGAAGGCTTTTCTTCCTTTTCCTGCAAGCCTTACATTCTTATATTCCACAAGGCTTCTTATTCATAGTGTTAAGTGTAAAATAACTGTTGTCTTCTGATTTTTTTATTAGGCAACAGCCCAGATAGAAAAATTCAGGGGTACATCCAGTATTATTATTGCCTTGACGGATGGAGAACTGGAAGGCTATCTTTATCCACTGGCAAAGGAAGAAGTAAGATGCTGTACATGCTGTTTCATTGCATGTTTAAAATAATTTCTTTAAATCAAATTTTATTGTGCTGTTTTTGTAATTTTACATTTGTATTCTTAAATCCAGGCAGATAAGGCAAGAAACCATGGTGCAAGAGTTTACTGTGTCGGTGTTAAGGATTTTGTTGAAGAGCAGGTAAATAAAACAGTTAGTCATGAATATAATTTTTGTAGCCAATTTATAGTGTGCATGAGTATATACATTTATACTTAATTCAATTAAATATGTTCAAACAATTGGAGTCATATTTGACAGATTTAGGATTGTGATAATATGAAGAATAAAGAAGGACATTGATATTAACATCAGGTTGTCGTAATGTCTACAATTGGAAGTAAAATGCATGTATTGTACATATAGTAGAGATTATTCAGGAATATAAACAAATAATAATCTTGATATCCCTGAAGAATTGAATTTAAGTTAATTTTTGATGTTACCCATGTTAGAAAACAATCCCCAGATGGAGAGTTAAATACTGATCCCAAACTAAAAATTAATTCTTATATTTTTACATGTTCCATTAGTATTATGTTCCATCATTATTCATAATGGGTGAAAAATGATTCGTGCATTTAAATTTTATTTTTCAATTACTTTAGATGGAATTCATTAGCCTACAAAATAGTCTGTCTTTTTACCGCAGTCGACACATGTAATATGTAATACAGCATTGGGTCTCACATTGTTTCTATTTTAAGATCTTTACAGTATGTTAAATCCCAACAAATACCTTTTCTTTGGTTTTCTGTTTAATTAAATTGCACCTCCCTTGGTTTTATTCTTAGCAATGAACCTGCTTATCAGAATGACATTTTAAAAAAATAATCTGAAACATTTACATTGGAATTTTTATAACAGGTTAATATCTTTTTATTTTTTAGTAATTTGGTTGTACTGAAATAATACCTGACTTAATCCATATAACTGAATGTGGAGTAAACACTTCATTCTAAAATACATTTTAAAAGACTACTTTATTGCCGTGGTTTGAGTACTATCTTTGTAGTGCGATTCCATGAGGTGCAAAAAATGAGCAGAGTCATGAGCCTTCCTTCCTTTTAATTAATTGTGCTTTTGAATCACTTATCAGCTTCATTTTGTTCAAGGTATCTGTGATTTCTCATCTTTTAATGCTGTCTGCTAATACAGTATCTGGAATTGTTTCCCAAACAAAGCCTACCGAAGTGTTTATAAATCAATAAGGAAGTAAATCTTTAGCATTGTTAAGGAAATATTACAGCACAATTGTATATTTGTATTGTATGTATTTTTGTAACTTTATGAAACTTAATGCTTAAATTTCCATTCTGGATTTTTGCATTTAAGAATCATCCACAGAACGATTATTTGGAAACAGGAATGACATTTTTTCTAATTTGTGCAAATGTCAAATTTACTTTCTCAGTTATAAGAAGCCAACATAAACAGGAGTAGTTTAATATTATTGTTTGTACTTCCTTTACTTATTAAATTTGGATATGATCAAAGTCACTTATGGAGAAGTCAAAGTCATTGCTAAACTATTACAAATAGTTATGAGCAACCTCAACAAAATAGCATTTTTTTATCTGAGATAAAATTAGTGGGGAATTGGTCTATGAATTGGCTTTATTATTCTGTTTTCCTCCCCACTAATAGCTGGTGTGTGGTGAGTGTTCTGGTACACTATGGCTGCATTGCATCATCCAGGCGGATGCTGCACTTTGGTGGTGGTGGAGGGGAGTCCTCATTACCTGTAAAGCGCTTTGAGTGGAGTGTCCAGAAAAGTGCTATATAAATGAAAGCAATTATTATCATTATTAACTAGGGCATTATTCCAGGGTAATGGTTTAGTGTTAGCACTCCATTCTGCTTTGATTCCCCATACTGTATATCTGCAGGTGGCTTGTCCTAACTTTTCTCTTGCTTGCATATATAATTACATATTAATATATAATTATATGCAAGCAACAGAACAATGATTAAAAATTGTACTTAACTTGAAAAATGAAAGAATGCATTTTTTGTATTTTTTAATAGCTTGTGGAGATTGCTGATACCAAAGATCAAGTATTCCCTGTCACAGGAGGTTTTCAAGCACTTAAAAGTATAATAAATTCGGTAAGTGTAGTCTGCTATATTTGTAAATGTTTATATTGCTTATTGAGTTAATTATATGGTGCGGTGTTGACCTACTGCTAATTTTAAATGTTGCCAAATTGGCCTGGTCATGAAAAATGTGGAAATCATTTTAATGTGCCTGTATCTTAGATCTAAACTTTCTATTTTAAATATTTATGATAAGTGTAAATACCCGATTTGTTTACATTTTATATTAAACATTTTATGCATGTTTTTTAAAAGGGGTGAATTGAACTGAGTATTTTTATTTATGAAAGCAAATTGAACATGGAAAGGATCACAAAATGTGTGAGTATACACAGAAAAAATAGAAAGGAACTTTTAATTAAAACTTTTAAGATTAGAAAAGGTATCTGTACATTGCTGTTGTAGTTTTGCATTCATAGAAAGCACCTAGCCATCCTTTTTTAAATGAGAATTTTTCATAGATGAATGTATCTAAATGTGATCTCTGAGTAACTTGGTCTCCACCTGGCTCTGTAAAATAGATTTTATCTTAAATAAGATTCGCTAGCAAATATTGTAGTGCCTATAGCTTGATAACAGGTGGACGTGAGTCACACGAGAGTGCACACTAGTTAAATAATATCAAAAGCACTCTTTTATAGCATGCTCTCAAAACAGTAGGTAGAGAGCAGACACAACCTCAGTGCAGCTGTGGCAGAGAGAATCACTGGTGTGGTGTTGAGTTTTATGTACAAGTTTAAGGTGGATTAGCAGGTTAGGACTGACACCTTTGTCTAGTTCTCTTTCCTATTTTAATATATTGAAACATAAGAAATTGATTTGAGGAAATTTATTTTTATAAGGGAATTCCAATCTGCTTTTACTTATTAATCTGTTAAAATGTAATGATATCTTAAATTCTAAATATGTTAAACCTAAAAATTGTAATCGAGAATGTGAAGTGGAAGATCAGTTGTTACAGAAGTAGGATTTAAAGGCATAATAATTTATTTAAATCATTTTATATCCAGGTTATTTTATATCCAGTAAGTCTACTGGTGTTATCAGATTAGTATGCGAGAAACTGTAGTAGAATTATCAGAGAACACACTGGGCACTGATAGAATGACATTGTTCGAGTGGATTCAGGTTTCTCACAGGACATTATAAGACTCCCCCAGCAACAAGTGCGTACTCTTAAAAGTTAGTCCAGAAACCTGGGGATCAAAAACATTTGGTTTAAAAAATGGTGATAAGCTTAATTGAATGCTGTTAATTGATACCATTACTGGGCAGAAATGGCCTTCAGTGACATCAAACAACTGACGGACACTACTTATCTTCCTGCCAGCTTTTATGAGTAACCTTTTTACTTTATTTTGTGAAAAGAATGCGTAATTTAAAATATTTTGAACTTTACCCTTTAGAAAGCATTAGACATACAAAATACATGAGAAAAAGTAATTAAAAACTGAAAGCTCATAGATGTTGGGTAAATATTGTAACTTGCACAAGTAGGCTAATACAACATGTATAATTAAGTCTGGTCTGGTAACATCAATAAAATGAACCAAATGAATTGAATGAATGAATACACCCAAGCAAATAACAAGTTATAATTTGTTAAGCATTTTTTCCAATTTTATACAGGACTGGTAATGACAACTGTTGCCTACTTTACACAAAAGAACTGTAAGAGAATGATATCTTTAGTGAATGTGTTACATTTTGAATATCATCTCTTAGGATATGAGAATTACCTTTCCTTAGCTGAGATTTAAAACCTTATTTTTAAGAAGGGCTATTATTTAATTGGTTTTGTGTGCCCCTTATTCTTTACATAATCCACTGTCAGACTTTGTGTTATATAAACTGAATAATCATAAGGTGTTTACTGTTTGTAAGAATGTTGGTGTTCACATTGATTACAAGTTTGGTAATATATAATTATGGTTAGAAACAAATGCTTGAGGAAAAACTGTGCCTGAAACAGTTATAGGCATATAAAAAGTGAAAATGCTTTAATGTTTAATGTCATTGAATGTTTTAGACGTTCTTCTGTCTTATTTATCCAAAGGAAGCTATAGCACAGACTGACACTATCTCGATACGATTTTTCCTTTAATAAAGAAAACATTTTATCTTGTGGCATTTGATAACATACAGATGAATGCACGGTAAAACCCTGTACTGTGGGTTTTGAGCTATAGGTGCTGCAATTACGAGATTCTCTGTCCAAAGATAATCGACAGCTGGCATGTGTGGTGTGTTAGTTGTTAGTGAAATGATTGCTTCATTTGATCTCTCTACTTTGCATGTTTAAATCTACTTAATATGGAATATTAATACATAATTTTACAACCAAAGGAAGGGGAGCTGAGTATAAAAATAACAGGAGCATAACATGTCTGAACGTCATATCATCATAAACTATATTAATTTAGGAATATAAATATGTTATACATACTGTATATAGCTAGTAGTGGTAGCTTAATAAAAACAACACAAAAGTATTCCACTTTCTTCATAAATATTTATGCATTAACTCAGTCACTTACTGTGGTTATTTTGGAAAAGTTTTAACATGCTCGTTCTGACTATATTAAGTTTATATACTCTGTAAAAAGCTATAATGTTTTAACCTTTCCATGAATACTTGTGCAATACTGTACAGTTATTTCAGTTAAAAAATTGTATTTTTTAGAATCTGCTTAATAGGGAATATAATATGGAATTGTGTAACTAAAGAAAATATTAATGTAAGGATCTAAATATAACATATTTATATAGCCGGTAGTATTACCGCAGTCTAATTTCTTTGTAAACATGTTTTATTTTTTCTTTAACACATTCACTTATGATTACTTTTGAAACATTTTAAGGTGTTTGTTTCATCAGTTTCCGAGCGGCCTGTTGGTGTAGTGGGTTTGTCAATAGGGATCTATCTAGAAGTTCCGAGTTCAGTTCCCGCTTAGGGCAAATGATTTTCTCCTAACAAAGAAAGACTCCTTTTTAAAAAACAAAATAGTAAATATTATGTACACTATAGTAACAATTATTTATTGTTTTTTTATGCATCACAACATATTCAATGTTAAATGATATTAATAATGAAATAAAAATGTGAATGAGCCAATGTGAATACTGTCAATAATGGGAGTAAAAACTAGTTCAACCAGTTTAATTCAATTCAATTCAAAATACTTTATTCAGTTGGGCAATTTAACACAAACCTTTACAACAAGCCTTAAAATGAAATCGTATATATTATAATTATAATCGAGAATAACAAAGTGGTATTAAAAAGACCACTGGAGATATAATAGAGAACATTATTAACAGTATTAATTTATTAATAATAAATTATAATTTGCACACTTCTTGTATCTTTTTCAGAGTCATTTTTTTCTCCGTATTTTCATAAAGGCCCTCAACAGTATGTCATACACCACAAGAGGACCTTCTAGCTGCCCTCTCAGTTTCGCTGCCATTCTCGGTTTCGCATGAGAATGTATATCAGTACCACCTAGGTCTTCATTAGAAGCCCTATATTACATTCTCATGTGATCTCCCTGTGTTCGCTTCAGAACCACGGAACCAGCAGAAAGGCTGCAGACATCCGTTTCATTCTCTTTTAGAACCCTCTACTCCTTTGTAGATTCTCGCAATTTTCATTATTTCTTGCGGGCTAAGAGAACGCAACTACACGTCTAAACGTTGGCTCTCTATCTCGACTAGAGGTATCGATCCTCTGCCAGTGAAAAAAGCAGCCAGAAATCCCACTCTATGACACCTGTCCTTGTCTAAATTAGACATTACATGACTTAAAAAGCCATAAAAAACAGGTTCAGATAGTTAACACTTTTTATGCATGGAAACTGGGTGATTTTTCTTCTTCGTAAAAAGGTTAGAATCTTTGTGTAAGTTCTAAGTTTTTTCTTTACTTTTTAATTAAACATTTAAAACACTTTCATTTTGTAAACTCCACATGTGTTTACATTCCCCCCTCTCCCTGTGGTGTGAAGCAGATCAGCAGCATCATCTTTAATAATAACATGAATGAATGAACCTCCAGACCATCTCCAGGATACTCAGAAAGGAGGGCTTGTTTCGTGCCAGCCAGCTAGTGCATTATGACCTCGCAGTAGGGGGAAGGGATGTGGGCTGTAATCAGATCAGATCCCTTTATTAACCATATACAATTTTTGGCATTAGAAATTTGTCTTTTTCGCATATCCCAGCTTGCTCTTCATGAGACATACAGGTACACAGACAGGGAGAGATGCTTGGGGTCAGAATGCAGGGTCCGCCATTTATACAGCTCCCCCGGAGCAGCTGGGGTCAAGGGGCTTGGTCAGGGGCCCAATGGAGTAGGATTCCTCTGCCAGCCAAGGGATTTGAACCGGCAACCTTAGATCCTTAGACACTTAGATCCTAAGTGTGGCTATTGTGACACTGTGACTAATTTCACTCTCCATCAGTTCACATTCTCAATAGTCACTAATGCAGCTTTAGCAAAGTAATTACTGGTTTTAAGAGAAGAATGTGATTTTTTGTGTATACGTTTCGTGTTGCGCTGGCAAAATTATTTTAACTTACAGCGTTCACAGAGATTCTAAGCTGATCACGGGGAAGAAAAATCACCCACTTTTCGTGCATAATAATTGGTGTTTAACTTATTATAATTTATCTAAAAATGTTTTTAATAGCTTTTAAAGTCATGCAATGTCTAAGGTAGGCAGGTATATGTCATTGTTTCTTATTTTTGATTTTCTTTAAAAAATGTTTTAAAAAATGGGCTTCCCACTTTCACCTTGCCATATAGTGGGGATAAAGCATATTTGAGGGCTTGTTCAGGATCTTTGTTTTGTTTTATGGAGCCGATATTTTTTCCTTGGTTCACGTGTGCTACACTTGAGTTGTTTAAGTTTGTAGTGGTCCTTTGTATTACAGGTATAACTGTACCACAGTTTGTAATAAGGGGTAATTGTGGTGTCCATCCTAGCTTTCAGTTTAGAGGAGTTTACTCTGCG